AGTATCAATAGATATCAAAAATAATCAAAAACTTTCAACACAAGCACTCTGAAGAAGGGGAGCATTTGCAGCAGTGCTTAGTTGACTGGCCACGGTGGTAAAAATATTTGCCCTGAGAGTGAAATTTTGAATTCCAGAAGTGGCCACTCACTTTTTGAAAAATTTGGACTTTTTCTTCTTTTAATGCTGCTCTATGAGAGACAGTTTCCCCTCTTTTTACACATTAAGAGAAAGATGTATTTCTTTCGCAAGGTAAAGTTCCTCACCTGCCTGAGGAAGGAGGAAAGCAGTACTTTCCTTTTTAGAACAACTTCTTTCTATATGTAAAATAAGATTTGTCTGTTTGTTTTCTTAGCAGTTAGTAGCTAACTACCTGCTACTTCAGTGGAAGCGTGAAGACTTTTTTTTGAAGGGCTGCTGTAAGTTTTAAAGCAGTAGTTTGAGTTATCACTAAAGAGACTTCAGTGTTGTAGCAGAGTACCTTGCTGGCAGAGTAGTCCAAGCCTGCTTAGATGGAGGAACAGAACTTCTCACTTCTGACTCGTCTGCGTACTCCTCTTGGCAGTGCTGCCATGACCGTAGATGAGTAGAATAAGTAAAGAAGTAAACTATGTGTTTCTTCTTCTCCCTGTTCTCATCTATCCTATTGCTCTCTTCAGGAATTCTGGGCAATGAAAGCTGACATGAAATCCTATGTACATGCAGTTGGTAGTTTGCTCTATCAGCTTTCACACATGGTGTGGGGTATGAAACACAACTTGAAAAATCCAGCTCTATGAACACTGACTCTAAAGCCTGACAATGTATGTCCTGTAGAAATCCTATCAGAAACAGTATCTTCTACAAAAATCCTTGCAAGAACCAAGTTCTTGTCAGATTTCAGATTCCGTTTGTCATCGTCAGTGCCAACTCAATTTGCTCCATATGTCCCTTTCACCCGCCCGCTTCCAGATCATCCCATAGCATACTGTTTCCTGGGTGGCAGGACGTGGCTGACAATGTGAGCTGGTTTAATTTCAGGCTAGAGCTTTGTGTTTCAGACAAAAATCCAGGCTGATTCTGCATAGAAACTCCCTTGGGAAGTTGGAAGGCTTGTTTCCATTGCTTGAAAGCTTTGGGGGGAGAGGCTGTGCAAGCAGTAGGATCTGAGTTCTGAAAGTCTATCCATGTGCATGGGGTTTTTTGTTGGTTTTGTGCTGGGTTTTTAAATTAGAGATTAGCAGGAGAAAGTCAATCTGTGCGTGTGGGTTGCAGAGGTCAGTCAGTCATTATAGGGCATGCAAGTCCTGCTTATGCTTCTCTGGTCTGCTGGGGGAATGCTGAGCTCACTAATATTCAGACAATTCCACTGAAGATCGTGAGGATGCAGAAGTGCCCTGGATTTGGAATGTTTTCTGTTCTACCATGAATGCACAGAAATGTGGAGTCCTGTGCTCGCAGTGCTGCAGCTGTAGCCCTTGTAAGAGCAGTCCTTAAAGTCTTTAAAAACTGCAGGAGGAACTACTTTTTACAGGAAGCAGCTTTTTTGTTTTTTTTTTCCACTGAAATGATAGGTATAGTTTCCTAAGTTATATTTCTAGGTGGAACTAGATGTTGGAAGTAATGCTAAGAAGCTACTGGAGCTTCCTAATGCTGCTGCCTTATTAAAAAAAAAGTTTCAAACCAAAACCTTAATTTCCTTTTGTCTGTAAAATCAATTTCCTTTTCTGTATTTACTCAACTCAAACCAGATGTGTATTCATAACATAAATGGTTTGGTATTATGCATGGTGCATATGTAATGTGCTGCTGGTGCTTGCCCAGTCATGTTCTGTTCCTTCATGTGCGATTTGGAAGGACGTATTTCTTCTCAAAATGGTTATCTTACAAAGCAGAGGAGCTAAAGACTACTCAAGAGGACATATAACTATCCTGGGCAGAAACAGGTGATGTTTTTGTTAGGGTTCAGTGTTGAATGTAAGCAATGGATATTACAAAGATGTTGAGTTATGTACTGAAGGTTGTGTAGTGGAAGCATGTCGGGGGTCTAACTAGCCTGAGGACTTTCGTCCTCAAAATCCTCAGTATGTTAGAATCCCTGTGAGTCCTTTCAGAACAGCGGTTAATGCAGTGTGCAAAGCTGAGTCACTTGCATACAGTTAGTAAACGTGATTAGTTTGATTTCTCTGAGGCTTGAAGTTCTTTTATATTATCTCTTGTTGAAAGCACAAGAGGGTTAAGCTCCTAATTCAGATCTGTAAGTCAATAGTATATCCCAATGCCTGGCAAAACTGAAGACAACTGTAGCCACTGATACCAAACTTAGCTGCTTATTCCCAGGGAGACTTTAGGTTGGCAAATGCCTGGTGAAGAAGCAGAAGAAAAATAAATACCACTTTTTCAGAAAAAATAGGTAGTATTATACACAAGGCTGAGATTTTGCTACTGGTATAATACCTTCACCTATGAAGTGTATAGCTTCTGTAGAGTAACATATCCTACTAAGATCTGGGGCAGGAGAGGGAACCAAACACGCAATGAAGCAGTAGAACAGTGCTATTGATGAACGATGTGAGGTGTCCCCCTACACCAGTTAAGAAAAACCAAGCAACTCACTTTTGTGAGTATAAAGAAGACACTAAAAAAAAAAAAAATCCTATTTTTAGCAGATTTTAAATTGTATGGGTCAGGGTGAATCATCATTTGACTGAGATCAATTTGACTGGAATGCCGCAAGCAGGTGTTTTTTTAAAGATGTCAAGGAACTGAAGGAGTATTGTGTAACGTCGATAATAAAGCAGCTGGACATTCAGCAGAAAACGTAATACAAACAGCACCTAAATACCACATGTCTTCAGTGCAGAGATGCAGTTGCACAATGCAGATTGATTTGTTCAATCAAAGCCTGTAGAAATTGTACGAAAGCTGGCATAGATAGAGAAAATGGGTTGTAGTCATCTCTGCACAAGAAAATAGGGGAACTTCAGAATTTCAAACTGATCAGCATTCAGAAAACCATACAGAACCAGTTAAGATGCTGTAACTCCTCTACAACTCTATTTTGAAAAAATAAAGAAGCTTTATTCTTTTAGTATTTGACCTGACAAAAGTTCAAAGTGGTTTCAATTACATCTATTAGTTTCTGTAGAGTTTCATGACAGGCTTATTAACAACTTTGCAATAATTGAACAGATAGAAATGTAAAATCCTTCTTCCAAGGATTATGGAAAATAAGTTGTTGTTGTACCAGGCATAGATTACAATATCTTTTATGAAATAGGGTGTTACTGCAGGATTTTACATAGAACAACTGCAAGAGATTAAGCTGGACTGAAAAAGTACAAAAAAAGAAAAAAAGAAAAAAACTGAAGCACATACCAGCCACCAAAAAATACACAGATTTGTTTCTGTGTGTCAGATGAATGCTCAAAACAGCTTTCATGGTTATAGACTGGTGCTTCTTTTCATGGTGCTCAAAGCATCAAGAGACACTTAGATAGCTTGCCATAGTTTCAAGAGGATGAAGAAATGATGCCAAAAAGATCTCTGTGGGCCAGTCTGAGTCTTTGCTGGAGGTGATGCCTTAAGGACTGGGTAATGACCCGGTGTAAGCTGCCAGCTCTGGTGCTGCCGGTGCATTTGGACCACGAGCTACCTCCAGCCTTCTCTTCCCAGAAAGAGCACTTCAGCCCTGGCACCAGAACGGTGGCTTCTGCGAAACTCCAGCCACGTGTGTTCAAGGAATGGGTGTGAAAGCCCTTGGAATTAAAGTACCAGCTACAGTTTTCTGCAGTAACCAAGGACATTACTCATACGTACAGCCATAGTTTTTAAAAAATGGGATGGCTGTCGCAACAAGGTATTTTAGGGAGTGACAACTACTCTGACCTGGATGGACACATGGTGAGGAATCCATATTTTGTTGCAGTAGATTGCCTTTCTGATAGCTCTAAAGAATACTTCAGACCAGAGACAAATCATTCAGTACAACTGGTATAAGCGTTAACATTTGTTTTCAAGCAGGTAGGTGACAAATAAACACAATTCCCATTCAGAGGAGGTGAGGGTTTGTTGAAAAGTAGGAAAGTCCATGTCACTCCCTCTACTAGCTTACTGATCTACTCTTAATGCAAAATAAAACACTGAGACATCAGTGTAAATAAACAAGAATTAGCAAGATTAAATACTATAAGCCAGAGAGCAAGTTTTTGCTAATATAAACTGAATGTTTGATGTTGCAAACTCAAAGCCAGCAGCTTGTTACCACAGCAGATACATTGCACTACATCAAGTGATGCTAGCTATAAAATAGCTAATGTTCTGAATTTCAAATGGACTATTTTTATAGTGTAGCTGTTCCCTATAAAGACAAAAGTAGCAATTCCTGATTTTGTTTTTCTGTTGCTTCTTCAAAATTCAGTCAGTATATAGACATATGACAGACTTCTTATACAGATGGATGGCTTTATCCTTAAGAAGTATTGAAAAGTGGCTAGTTGGCGATCATGCTACACTGGAATCACAGCCCGACCCTTCAGCCTGGTGTTAGAACATTTCTATGTTAAAACTAACTCATGACATCGTAGCAAGGCTGTGTGGAGTGTATGTGTCATGTCCTATGGTGTTGATCAGACCAGGATTATTTCCAAGGAAACTTTACCATTTGTATCTTGCACATCATTAATAATTGGACAGAAATCAGAAGATAAAATTAGGTATCTGTAAGAGAATATATACTTTGGAGAACCATACATTTGTCTACAGACATGAAAATAGCTCTTGTTTATAGTTTTCCACCCCAGGGTAGGGAAAAGTCAGATACTAGTCACGACTTTCCCTGGAATTCCACTTGCAAACTTCGATTTGCATGATAAAATTTATACATCTTGCAGACTATGTTGCCTTCAGTTAATTCAAACGTCTGTGTTAGGCAGGTACTTCACACTTTGAGAGCCTTGACTTCTTCATTTATGCCAGAGAATGGAAAGACAAGACAATTATCTCTCTAATTTGATTCATAGAAACTGTGAGTGAAGTCTCGGATGTTGCAGCTTCTTCTGCCCACGAGGAAAACTCGGACAGTGTCAAGGAAGGAGCAGCCTCAGCAGCTCAAGAGATTTCTGACACATCCTCAAGGAGCCAGGACGCTGATGCTGAGGAGTCGGGGCAGTCAGAAGGTGCAGGAGTACAGCTGGGGCTGAAACGTTTGGTCTCTGAAAAACCCCAATGGCTGTTTGCACTGAACTAGCTGCAAGAACACGCAGAATTTAAGTGATGCAATGGGTCTGCTAGCGATGACTGTGTTTGCCATTGCAGTGTTAGCAGAAAATTTGATTTTGAAAAATTAAAACCACAACAGCAATGGGCATTACTGAGTTGCACCACGGGGCTGTTTTGAGCTCAGTGCCCTGCTAAGTGGCTGAATGTGAAATTCATTAAGAACAAGAAATTCTCCCTTGTGCGGCATGTGATGTAACACACTTTTAAAACATCTGACTTAATTTGAAAGATAGAGTTTTGTTAAATTACATTTCTGTAATAAAATATATAGAGCTTGTGGTATTTATAAAGTGTTTCAATGCAGCTATAAATGCTCTTTTCCTGTATTGCCCTTGAAGTTGAATGATGTAATTGAATGCAAAGAAAATTCTGTGTTAAAATAATCACTGTGGAGATTTTCAAAGCAGTTTATGAGTTTGGCCTCTAAATTCTTTTACAATTAGAATTAAAAAAAAAAAAAAGGAAAAATGTCTGCATACCTAAAATGACTTTAACTTGTATCCCTTTAGTCCAAAGAGTCCTTAGTTTCCTTTGGACTAAAGGAAACAACTGACTTGACTGTTTCTCATCAAATAAGTTGTTTCTAATCCTTCTCATTAGTGTTTTGTCTCCATTTTTCAGTTTCTGTGGAGGACACACCACCTGAAGAAGTTGCTAAGGAATCCTAAAGGTACACAGTACAATTGCATCATGTACTTTCCCGCTGTTCATGTTTCTTTTTTTCTCAGTTAGTGGCAATTGCAGCATGTAGTAAGTCTGCACATGCCCTCTGATGGTGAATTTGTATTTCTGCTCCCAACAAGTACACTTCAAAAAAGAACTTAACTGTCTGCAACATTCCTACTATTTTGCCATTTTCCATGACTCCTCTTTCCAAAATGGACTTTTAAACCTGAGAGAATAAAAAGTTTGTCTGAAATATGAACGTGAATCGTGGTAGAAAATTTTTTTACTATTATTAACAACTGAAAGCTAAGCAAATAAACCTCCCAGGTCAGGAATTCTCAAAATTATTTTTGCTCCCAGTTAACAATTCATACACTAATTCTTGGAGCACCAATACAAGAGGAGAAGGAAATAGAGCAAAGAAAGCTGTTCTCTATTGTATCCTCAAAACGTATGCTCTAAATACATAACATAGGTTGTGTGAGCCCTTCACAAGTGCATGTTTGCTTATTCCATCATCCACTGCAATATAAAACAAGGTAACGCCTCCTATCTCCTTGTCATAAAAGGTAAATGTTGTCTTAAACTGTATTAGTAAATAAATCAAACATCTGGGGTCTTTTTCCATGTTGTCTTAGCATTCAAAACTAAGAAAAAAAATTCAAAAACAAAGCCAACCTCAAAATTATAAAATTTACAAAATGCTAGTGTAAGATATGTTTTGCTAACAGTGTTTTTGTGTTTTATTGGGAATAATGGTGTGAAGTGGAACAGATATTTAATGAATGTGCGTGACATGCAGAAAAGTTAGACTGTGCTTCTCAAAGCTACTATTTTTTCTCAAAGTGAAAGCTAGGGGCACCTGGCAATATCCTATCAGAAAACCAAGTTACCAAGAAATTCTCTCTACTTTGTGGCACATCAATGCAGTGATCTAGAGATTGCAGTAGAGTTAGGTGTTTCCTTTTTTTCTCTCTGTAAACATCTTGCAATCCTAAAAACTGCCACATTAGTATTCCAGATTTTGACAACAAATATCCAATGTAATTGATGAAGGCGGACATGGTATCTGAAAGGGGCTGGAAGTGAAGGAAAGTTGTAGGAAGCACCTGTGATGGAACAAATTGAAAACCAGGTGCAAAATAGAAGAATCTGTTGCTAGAATATGGGTCCACTGAATTATGTTTAAACTGCTTGGGCTCTTCTTGACAAAATAGACTTTTTATGAATATAGCATCGCAAGGTTATAAAAGGTGCTTCTTACTGACTTCTGATTTGATCTTGTTGGGGGAAAAAAAGTGTTTATGAAACATTTTGCTGCTTACTGATGAAGATCACTGCTGGATTGAAAGCCAGGCTGACTTTTCCCGATTTGCAAGTCAAGAGATGCAATGCATTCCCAGACAGGAAAGAACTAATTTCTTTCTTTAGTGTATGCTTTGTTTGTAAGCACTTTAGAGTATGGACCTTAACTTTCAGTTTGCATTAAAACAAATTATACTTTTTGAGGAATTTAAACAAAAAAAAAATCAAAAGAATGTGGATGTGAGAGTCAAATCAGTATCTAGTTCACTTAAAAAAAAAAAAAGTACTAATTATCTGGTGAAGGGATAGAAGTAGCAGTAATGGATGGAATCCTCCCACGAAGCCTTGAATCGATGCTGATAGCACACCTGAGTAAGAATACGCTACTGTTCCCCTTTCTTCTCAGAGTACAGCAATTCTCCTGTGTGTGGGCCACACATTCACACTGCTGTGAAGCTACTTTTACCAGTCATCTCAGCAAACACAACTGCTTTACCTTGTGCTTAAATTTAAGCAAGTAACTATTTGTGGAAGTAAGGCGCAGTGGAATGTGTCCAGTATGCAGGGAAATTCACTTGTACCTGGGCAACACAGCTGAAGTTGAGGAATTCCTTGGACTTGGGTGTTGTTATTGGCAGCAGAGCAAGTTTTCACAAGCCATCAGATAAGTATGATTTACACAGCAGTGGAGTTCATGTGCTGTAATTCACTTAACTGATAACTTGCGTTGAAATTTACAGTGTGCCTTGCAGGTTTGCAGAGAAAAAGACCTGATGAATCGAGTCTGTTGATAAACATAGTTCCTTGCTGCTCCTCTAAAGCAGATTCTTTTTTCTTTTTCCCAGTGAGCAGTGCTGAAGCCTTTGAAAAGTTCAATGGAAATACTTGTGGCAATCAACCAGCTGTTCCTGTGTGAAACCTCATACTGTTCCTTGGAGGCATAAGAGAAATTGTGCAGTTTGTCATTCCCCACACTTCTCATTAGGACCAGTATTCATGGCTGCAACAGACAACCTAATACAATTTGAGTTGGTTAGAGAGACGCTTCTGTGATTAACATCTCTGCTTTAGGAAGTAGCATCCAGTAATAACTGTCAAAGCACCACCCAGCATGTAATAAATACACGTGCCAGGAGAAGCGGTAGACTTAACAGAACCCATGTCAGGTGAGCTCATTTCAGGTCTTTGTTGTTTCATTATATACATTGGTTTCTTACTTTTGGTCCCAACTGTGGTGCATGGTTATACCATTGTAACATTCCATGCTAAAATGTAAGTAAAAAGTTTTAACTAAGTTAAAATCTTATTAAAAATTACCTGGTAGTATTACTAAATTGGGTCACAGAGAAAATAACGTTTTGGATTTGCAGTTGTAAGCGTAGGACATTTGGCTGTACAAGATCTAATTTTCCTCCTGCATAAACATTTTAGATGCTGCCTTTCCTGGCAGTCCAGGAGTAAACGTTTTTAAGCGTTTTGGATTTGCAGTTGTAAGCGTAGGACATTTGGCTGTACAAGATTTAATTTTCCTCCTGCATAAACATTTTAGATGCTGCCTTTCCTGTCACAATCATGTCCAGGAGTAAATGTTTTTAAGGCTCCTGCCTTGAGAACAAAAACTGTTTGCAACTAGTAGCAATAGGTGCTTTATATGAAAATAACATGGGTTGAAGTTATCATCACTAATCGAAGTGGTGGCACCTACCGTGGGGGTGCTGGTACAAATCACAAGCAGTTTAGGCTATGGTAGAGCTCCTCTCCAAGAGCTTGCAGATGGCCAGCAAAATGCCTGTGGAAGGCTGCACCACAAGTGTTCAAATGGGTGAGAATTCTTAGGGAATAACAAAGAACAGAACAGCAAAATAATCTTGTCATGTTAATATTAACTTAATAATGAAAAAATCTATAATGAATAATGGGTTTGTATGACACTGTTCTCCTAACGCTCCGTTGTGCTATGTGCATGAGCGTGCATCTGCTACAAAATGTTTACTGAGACCCCCCCAGCTAAAAAGCACTACAGCCATCACAGAATGGCGATAGTTCTAAACCAGGGACAGATAAGCTATATTATACAAAATTTATACAGAAAGTGCAAGTTATATCTGACAGCTTTCTCTTCAAGCAGAACTTTGGAAAAATGTCAAAAGGGAAATTACAGTGTTGCAACATTCCTACCCATGGCACAAAGCAACAGATGCTCCTTGCCCCATCATAAAGCAAATTTTAATAGCGTTACAACAAAAATACAGCTTATTGCCCCTGTTCCTGCTTAGGAATAACTGGAATAATGCAGAGGCAAAGTCGGGCTCCTGAGCTTCAAGAAGCCAAAGGACAGCCTTCTGTTTAAAGGAAAAAGCCACTGTGATTAAAAGCAATTTTTGTAGTCAAAGCTGCTGGAATAAAAGTCTTAGACTGCTATTTTGTTGGACAAGAGTCTGTCTTTATTTATCTGCTAGATTAAACATCCTACAATGGATACATACTCTTAAATGTTCTATTTCCTCATTTTCACTAATTTCCAGTAAAAGAAACTGTTTCTAATTTCTGCAGCTGGCAGCAGGGTTTCTAAAATTGCAGGCTTTGCTGACTGTCCCTTTATCTTTGGAACTACTCTGGTACATGACAAAATACATTAGCCTTTGGGAACAGACACCTGAAGAACTGAAGTACAACCTATGGTGCGTTTTCCAAAGCTTTTCATCTTTCTGACTTCAAAAAATGTTACAGTCTCAGGATAGCCTGTACATAATGCTTCATTTTTTTTTTAAAGACACTACTCTTGGAAGCCAAATGAACTAGGAATATACTATAACCTCTAGCTGTGATGACATGTGGCACAGCATGGTCTGCTTCAGCATTTGATTATCCTAGATTAACAACAGAGATGTTTTGTAATTGGCAGAGGGCTGCTCTTCAGAATAAATATCTAATAACCGCATGCGGAATGCCTTGTTGCTTCATCAGAAATGCTGTATTACTGGCGTAGGTGGTCCC